CGGATCCGTTAACTAATCAATGTTAAGAAGAGATAAATATTCAAAATATAAATTAATGTTTCATTTTCATGATCAGTTCTGATTTCTGTAGGTGGATATGTGCTTGTGACCAAGGTTTGTTCTCTTGATAATTTTTTAATTTCTTTTGCTTTAGCCTAGATAACGTCCAAAACCCCCCAAGTTGCATATCATCTAGCATAAAAATTTGACTTGAGCCTTCCTCATGGGATCAACCCCTTGCTTCCTCTATATTATCTTATGTGTTCTGTTTTAAGTTAGGGTAATTAATTTATGTGACCATGACATCACAACAAGAGTTACTAAGCTCGAAGAGGTGTCTCAACACCTAATGCCCTAAGACCAACTAGTCTATGAGTCATTAGCCTAAAGCTCGTTACACGGGTTAAAGATGTATTTTTTTAAGTTATATGTATATATATTAAAAAAAAGAAAAAAAAAAGATAATAATCCCAACCCAAGAAAGTTAACCTTAAATAGTAGAACAAAAATTTGTTTTCTTCTAAGTAAAGCCCCATAACTATGTGTTGATATATTAAGCATAAAAGAAATATTTATTAATATCTTATTTAAGAAGTATGAAGCAAATATATATATTTAATGAGAGTTTGTTTATTTGGATAGATTAATAGAAGTTGAATAATGAATGTCTTGCTTTATAAAACTTGCAAATTATTTTTCTATTTTAATACTTTGATTACTAGGAACTAGTAATAAGCTGGTTGGGGGTATGATTAGTACTTAAAATTATATTTTTATTAAGATTTTATATCATCATTTTGCACTTGAAGTAGCAATAACTGCTTAACTAGAGCATGTTTTATAAAATCTGATAATATAAGATACTTTTAATTTATAATATATGTTAATGTTAAATGCAAACCTATCACATAATTCAAATTATTGATTGATGTGATTAACTATTGAAAGTGAAAGAACAAAGAAAATAGATATTAATTCAATTCAAACTGAAATACTGTTCAATTATTGGGTCATATTTGGAGCTGTAGATTTTGGATTTCAGTTTGATTTATATGGCCATAAAGCTAAAACATAAGCCTAAAACATTAATGAGAGTTCAAGATTCAATTATACCATTTGGAAGTCCAAATCTTAGCATTAAAAGAGAAGTCTGAATTTGTCCTACAACCTAGACATGTTCAGTGTTCAGCCTATATCTCGAGTTCT